GTTGTTTTTACCAAGATTCGAGCATTTTTCTTGAGTAAATGCTCTCTGGCTTGTTGAAAAGCCTTTGGTTAAATTCCAGAGTTCTGAAAGAGTTAATTTTGATCATTTTTGTCAATGTTTTCACTACTTTTCTGGAGGAGAGGATTTTCAGAGTTCCTTTGCCATTACTGTTGACAGCCAAATCTTCTCTATATCTACAGAAAAATGTTGCTAGGATTTTAATGGGACTTGCATTAAACATATGTCAATTTGGGGAGAATTGAAACCTTTACTATGTTGAATCTTCCAAACTGTGAACACGGTATGTCTCCATTTATTTAGATCTTTGATTTTTTTCCATCAGTATTTTGTAGTTTTCAGCATATAAGTTCTCTATGTTTTGTTGGATTATACCCAAGTTTTTCTTTTGATTTTTCTTTTTCTCTGTTCCTTATTTTTTTAATGGTTTACTTGGGGTGTTTCTTTATAAGCAGTCATGTCATCTACAGATGGAGACAGCTTTATTTCTTCCATTCTGATTTTTATGCCCTTTATTTCCTTTCTTGCCTATTGCACCGGCTAGAAGTTCCAGCACTGTGTTGAATAAGAATGGTTAGAGTGGACATCCTTGCCTTGTTCCTGGTCTTAGGAGGAAAGCATTCATTTTTTCACTATCAAGTATAATGTTAGCTGTAGGGTTTTTTATAGATCAGGAAGTTCTCTATTCCTGTGTTTCTGAGAATATCATGAGTGAGTGTTGGATTTTGTCAGATGCTTTTTCTGCATATCTATTGATACAATCATGCACATGTTCATTTTTAGCTTGTGAAAATGATGGATTACATTGATTTTTGAATATCAAATCAACCTTGCATTTCTGAAATAAACCCTGCTTGGTTATGGTGTATAAATTTATAACTCCTTTTCCGTATTGTTGAATTCTGTTAGCAAACATTTAAAGGATTTTTGTGTCTATCTTCAGAAGCAATATTCTGTGGTTTTCTTTTCATACTTGCCTGCTTTTGGTATCAAGATAATAACTAGCTTCTTAAAATGAACTGGGAAGTGTTCCCTCCTATTCTCAGTTTTGGAAGAGATTGTGTAGAATTTGTGTTAATTCTTCTTTATATATTCTGAATAATTCTCAAATAACACTCTCATGGTCTGGAGATTTGTTTTTGGAGTTTTAAAATTATGAATTCAGTTTACTTAATAGTTACAGGGCAATTCAGATAATCTATTTCGTATTGGTTGAGTTGTGGTAATTAGTGGGGTTTTTTAGGAATTGGTCCATTTTGTCTAAATTGTTAAATTTATGTGGGCATAAATTCTCTTATTATCCTTTGGATGTCAGTAGGTTCTGTAGTGATACTGTTAACCCTGTTTCATTCCTGATGTTGGTAATTTGTGTCTACTTTGTCTTTTTTTTTTGGTAGGGTATGAGGGTGGGGATCATTCTTGCTAGAGGTGTGTTAATTTTGTTGTTTTTTACAAAGAACTAGCTCTTTGTTTCATTGGCTTTTCTCTGTTATTTTTCTAATTTCATTAAAGTCGTTCATATTTTTATTACTTCCTTTCTGCTGCTTGATGTGGGTTTGTTTTGCTCTTTTTCCAGGTTCTGCTCAGATTATTGATTTGAGACTTTTCCTCTTTTCTTGTGTGTATGCACTTAATGCTATAAGTTTTCCTCTCATCACTGCCTTTACCTGTGTCCTGCAAATTCGGATATGTTGTATTTTTATCTTTGTTCACTTTGATTTTTTTTTTTCCACCTTTCTTGAGATCACAGTTTGTTTATCCATTCATCTGTTGATGGACATTTAGGTTGTTTCTGGTTTAGGGCTATTACCAAAAAATGCCGTGAGTATTCTTGTACAAGTTCTTATGTAATATAACATATGCTCTCATTTCTTTTGGATAATTTCCTAGAAGTGACTATCATAAGTGTACATATAACTTTTGAAGGACTTGCCAGACTGTTTTATTAGCAATTGATTATTGCTAATTGACCAAAGTGATTATTAGCAATTTTTTGTAGCTGTAATTGATAAAAGTTGACTTGTGATTACTTAGAATTATTTTAATGATTCTTCACCATAAATAATTTGAGAAGCACTGCTTGGAGTAGCCCTGGAGGGGTAGATTTAGGTAGCTATAAGAACTCTCCTTACATTGTATAAGATAAAGCAGAGTGAGTACAGATGGAGGTAGGTTGCTGGTTTTGAAAGGAGGAGAAGTACTCTGATCAGAGTACTCTGACTGTAACACTGCTGTTAATGAAATATGAGACAGTGTCATTAGCTGGGTGAGTAGAGAGCCTTTAGCAATATAAGATTGAGGAAGGAGGAAAAGATGTGAATTCATCTCAGAATGAGAACATATATTAGAAAAATGTAGTAGGTTTTTCTGAGAGTTCTGAGTGCCTCTTTAAGTTTTGTGGCCATAAATTTGAAGTAAGACCTGTTTTCAAGAGTTTCTCCAATTAGTTTAGTTGTTTAGACACAGATAAATACAACGTATTTATTTAGGTTTAATAAGGACTAAGCTTTTTCCTTGCTAATGTGAGATAGGAATGGTGGAGGGTCAAGAGGCTTTTGCAAGGGAGTGATTCTAGAGTTGTGGAACCTCAGCCAGTTAAGGAAAGGAATGAGGGGGATGGTGGATTGTGAAAAGATAGTAGGGTCAGTGGATTACAGGACCCTGTGCAGTCAAAGGATAGTTGCAGTAGGAAGACCATAGTAAGTGAAAATGTAAGGAAAGGAGATGGTGATCAAAGAGTAGGATTGTGGAAATAGTTTTCAGAGGTGGTATGATTTTTGGTGATCTACATGATCTAGTCAGAGATATAACTATAGATATAATCTAATATAACTGTAGGAGAAGGTGGCTGAGGTGGTGTTTAGGAAAAGACAGTTGAAGAAGTCAAGGAGCACAGAGGCCAAAGAGTTAGACTGATTTTCTGTATGTATGTTGGAGTTCCATTATGGCCAGCATAATGATGGCGAGAAAGACAGTGAGTCAGGTGCTAAAGGCATCAATGAATGAAGAGGGTGAGGAAAGACTTTGAGGGGGGTAGTTAAGATAGCAAAGATAATGGGTGTTAAAGTCTGATCATATGATCTTCAAAGATCTGCAGTGGGGCTCAATTAACGGAGGAAGTAGTACAGTGGAGATTGATAAGGACACCCTCCCCACTTCTGAGTCCTGAAGTGCTCTGAAGAATTATGGGAGGAAAAGGTCACCATTTGAAAGGTCTCTAGGGAGAAGTATCTTCCAGGAATAGCCAAGTTTTAGCTAGAACAAGAAGAGAGAACATTCAGAGAAATTGAAGATAGCAGTAATGGGGATGGTATCCTAGCGAACATGCATGATCCAGGAGGCTTGGACTTACTTTGCCTGAGCTAAACATGGGTGTGATGGAATTAGTTAGTTATGGTAGTTTTTTGGATGAAGGTGGCAAATGAGTTAAAGTTAGAACTCAGAAAATTTAGCTAGGACATGGGACCATCACGCTGCTTTTCAGTTTTTGAGGTCAACGTCAGACAAAGACCTCTTGGTATAAAATTTATTCTGCAGCCCAGTGATTTTTGGTAGCTTGGTGGTCTCTATTTTTCTGGGATTGTAGAGGTTATATTTGTTAAATTTCTTGTCCCTTTTTGATGGACTTGGACTTCCTCATGTGTTTGGTGATTCTTAATTCTCTGTCTCCCATGACATGCCAGTTTATTCTTCTAAAAGCCTTGGACTCCATGGGTTTCCTGGCTGAACACTGTGGCTTCTTGTCTGCTTCCTTCTTTTGGGCCCATTGAACATTGTTAATTTTCAGTCACACACACACACAGTGTTAATTTTTTCAAACATAATATTTTGTCTTTCACTTCTGCATGTTTGTTATAGGAGAGGAGATTTTGGCATGTATTCAGTTCATTACCTTGACACTGTCAAAGCTAAACTTTTAGAAAAGAAAATTGATTATAACCCAAATTTCCAACCATAGGGAATGGGATAAAATGTGGTATATCTATATAAAAGAACATTATGCAGGTATTAAATTTTTGTTTTGCAAGGACATGGAGGTAATGAGAAACTGCTCTCGATAAATTTTTAGTGATGCCATTTGCTAAAACGTATATGCTCTATTGATGGATATAGACTGGCATTAAAATGTAAATGTTTAAGGACCTTAAGATTTTAGGTGTTTTTTATTTGTTTTAAGTTTCTATATTTTCCATATTTTCTATATTGAATATGTCATAAATATATACATTTATAATGGGGAGGAAGAGGGAGTAAATTTGACTTGGAAAGAAAGGTAACTAATAAGCAAATTATATGATATGTTAACCTTATCTAATTTAACACAAAATTCTATTTTTGCAAAAAATACATTGGGTGTATGCATCTGTGTCTTGAAGAAAATCATAACTCTGTCTTAGGTAGACCATGTATGGTTTTGATAAAAATTCCACTGGTAAGTTGCATGATCTGGTTTTTTTAAGGACTTACCCTGAATATAAACATACAGATTGAGGATTAAAATCTCAAAATACTAATTTGAAGTGCTAGTAGAAAATAATTTAATGGAAAGAAAATAGTTTATTGTGGTTTTAAACTAGTAGGGTGACATAATCTTCACCATCATTTCTATTGCTGGTTTATTGAAAGTCTGTGGTATACCATGTGACTGTTTTCAGTTTTATGATATATAGTATGTGAAATCTTCCTATAAATATTTAGAAATCTGCTGATTGGCTTTATAAATATTTTGTTTATTTAGCAAATATTTACTGAATGCTAACTATATGCTAACCACTGCCCTAGGTACTTGGAATGTATTGCTGAACAAATAAAGAGACAGGTGGTCTGGTAGGAGTAACAGTTTAATTCTAATAGGATACCTTTTAGTGAGAAAAAAACCCATGTTCTTAGGTTGTTTGCATTTTTAAAACTGTTTTACTATAAAAGCCTAATAACCAGGAGAAAAAACAATCTCCAGTGCTAACCTGCTTTTGTTTTATTAGATTGAGGAGCTTCAGCAGGCTTTAACAGTAAAACAAAATGAAGAGCATGATCGACAGAGGAGAATAAGTAATACCCGCAAAATGATAGAAGATTTGCAAAATGAACTGAAGACCACAGAAAACTGTGAGAACCTTCAACCCCAAATTGATGCCATTACAAATGATCTGAGACGAGTTCAAGATGAAAAGGCATTATGTGAAGGCGAGATAATTGATAAGCGTAGAGAGAGGGAAACTCTAGAGAAGGAGAAGAAGAGTAAGTTTTTTTAAACTTACAGTGAGGACATGTTTATAAAATGGAGATATGTCTCTGTTGATGGGCTTTCTTCTTCCCCTGATCATGTCTCTAAGTGTTCATGTCTGCTTGTTGAGGAAGCTCAGTTCAGTTCTTCCATTTTAGTGTCTTAATTACCTATATCTATTGTGTAATGATTTGCTGCAAGCAGACCATTGTCTTATGTCAGATTATGGCAGTTGATTTAATTCTCTAAAAATACTTTGCTTTATTTTCTTTACAGTCACTCACTTTTCTGTTTTTTCTCAGGTCAAATTTAAGCTCTTCATTCTAGCCTTCATAATCTTCCATTAGCTTTGCTCCTTGAAGCCTGTCCAATTTCATCTTTTTTTTTGTTTGCTATAGACCGTGTGGCTAGATCTATAGCATTATTCAGTTAGAGGAGATCTTACATTCTGTCTGCTCATTATATATGACTAAGGTCAGTTAGTAAAAAAATTTGTTTATATGTTTAGCAAAATGCTAGGTGTATGGTTTAAAAAAAATAATAACACTAGACAAGAAGGGTGGCCCAGTGCCTTTCCAACTTCCAGACCCACTGTCAAGAGTAAGCACTCTTAACTATTTCAGTAATTTTTTCTAATAGTCTTTCATATATCTTAATCATATTTTTATTTTACCATGTCTTGGTTAATCAACTTTAGATATCATCTTTTAATATTTTGTTGCTTCAGATGTGGATTTCAACTCATGACACCTCCCCTACCTATTATTGTAATTCCCCAAATGGGATTCTTATATTAATATTAGTAATCATTAACATTTATTAATGTTTATTTATTACCAATAATATTCTTTTTTTTGTCATTTAATATTTGTTGATAATGCTTGAATGCACATTTATAAGCTAAAAATACTGATACTCCTAGCCTTTCTTTTTACTTTCCTCCCTTTAATTCTTTAATATGTACTCTGGTTTTTATAGTTTAAAGGCTGAAAACATACTTTATTGAGAACCATAATTAAGTTTTATATGGTCTGTTTATGGGTTGATTCTACTAGCTAGAAATATTAAGTATTATTTATGTTATTACAACAATAAAACTTGCTCACAGCAGAGCCAAGTAGTGCATTATGATCTAATTTCTGTTCATTGATAATTTTTTTTTAGGATTTTAATTTACCAATTTTTAGAAACACCATTTACTTTAGCATTTCCTTAAATTGGGAAAAAAATTATCAGGCATTCTCTTGAGTTCTGAGACCTTCCATCCTCCTCCCATCTAAACTGATTGTTCTCAAGGTCTCCTTATGGCTGTTACCTAGGACTTGTCTCACACCTCTTCTGTGTTGAATAAAAAGCTATTCCTGAATTCTGTGTCTTCATTTTTCTTAAATTACTTCCTTGTTTTGTAAGAGTACATCTTCACATAACCTCCTAAGAAGAGATATTTGGGAATTAATTTGAGTCTTTGCATCCCTGAAAAATCTTTACTTCATTATCCCCTTTTTTATTTTGGTGTTATAAAAATCTAGCTTGAAAATGGTTTTTCTTTCAGAATCCTGAAGGCCTATTGCCATTGTCTTTTGATAGGAAATCTAGTGTTTTCTCATTATTTTGTATGTGACCTATTTATTTTTGGTAGTTTAAAGATCATCTTTTATCCCAGGTGTTTAGAAACTTAAGAATGATTTGTCCAGGGTGGGTCTTTTTCACTGTGTTGGGTACTTGCTGACTGGTGTTTATAACCTTTAGATCTCAGATACTCTTTTATGTTATTAATAGATTATTTCGCTAATTAAAGTTTTCAGAGGAATAATGCTTTATTTTCCAATTTTAGGTGTGGATGATCATATTGTGCGTTTTGACAACCTTATGAATCAAAAGGAAGATAAGCTGAGACAGAGATACCGTGATACATATGATGCTGTTTTATGGCTGAGAAATAACAGAGACAAATTTAAGCAAAGAGTCTGTGAACCCATAATGCTCACGGTAAGAAATTTGTTCATCTTAGTAGTATCTGTTAGTTTTATTATTGTAATCATTGTAGGTTTTGTTGTTTTAAGAATTCTTAGTCTTCTTAACACCCTGCTTTTCCATTAGTAGACTTGTGGCATCTGGTATGCTGCTGAATCCATACATGAGCTTTTTAAAGGGTCCTTGATAATAAACCTATGAACTTTTTCTTGATAGAAGTATGAAACTGGCAACTTATTGACCAAGAATCATGTGTAAACTTGGTTAGCTGGTTTCCTTCTGGCAATTGCTATTCTTCGGTTATAACAGGCAATATATTAAATGCTGCCAAAGGGGTAGAAAACTGCTATAAATAAATACAGTTGATATGGAACACCTGACAGGATAGACAACAAAATCATCTGCTACAAAAATAAAGCATTCTGAGGATCCTGAGAATGAAACCAACAATTTATTGACCTTATAAACATTTGATAAGTCTTATTAATGATCATGAGTCATCAAGAATAGGGCAAGCTGTGTTTAGTAAATCATTTAATGAAATGTGGGTGTGGATTTACTAGGAAAATTTCCATCTAAAATATTTTAAATGGTAAGTTGGGCCATGAGAAGAAATGAAAAAGTAAAACCCACATTCTTTGCTAATGACATGTTTTATACACACACACACACACACACACTTAAAACTTCAAAATGATAAAAGGATTATTTTTGCTAGATGATTTTTTTTTTTTGGAAAGAATTCACTGTAGATCCTTGTAGGATTCATGAAAAGTTCTATATTCTGTAACTCCTGTTAATATTATGCTTTATTCAAAGTCATTTCATATAGTTTGCATTATATTAGCAAAATTAGTGTGCATAATACTGTATTCTCTTCTTGCTCAGGTATGAATCATTAGAATATTTTTGCTCGATCAAGAAGGGAATACCTATTTTGGATGCAGACATTACTGTTTTGATTAATCCAGTAAGGATTGAAAGAAAACACAAGAAGAAATACTGTGACCCTTAGTATTATAAATTAGAATGCAAGTGTAATTTTCAACAGATTCTTATTAAAATGCCAACCTCAAAACAATACCTCTGGACTTTATTAGATTGGTCATCCTCTTGTCACTTGATTTCCTGATAGTAGCCTATCACCAAGTCAGATTACTAGCTGGCATATATTTACTTTTTAAATTACATTTGAGTCTGAGATAAAGGGAGATACTCTGTTATCTTACCCTTCCTGGAACAACCTTTTACTTTTACTACCACCTTCTTCCAACTGTATCCTGCCCATACACTTACCTAACCCTTCAAAATCTAGTTGAAATGCATTGTACCACCTCCATAGGCCTTTAAAATGTTGCCATAGGTCTCTATTTACTAATATAAAGGGACATTTATGATATGTTAATGACTTATAAAACAGATTACAGGATAGGGTATATAGAAAGATTTCATTTTTAAAAATTGTGAAACAGGAGTCTGCCATCAACCACCAGAACATCTTGGAAAGCTACACCTCCTATGTCTACCTGTCCATGTCTTACTACTTTGTAAAGATGTGGCTCTGAAGAACTTTGCCAGATATTTTCTTCACCAATCTCATGAGGAGAAGGAGCTCGCTAAGAAGCTGATGAAGGCTCAGAACCAACAAGGGGCCAAATCTTCCTTCAGGATATCAGGAAACCAGACAATGAATGCAATGGAGTGTGTGTTACACTTGGAAAAAATTGTGTATCAGTCACTACTGTAAATGCACAAACTGACCAATGACAAAAATGACCCCTACTTGTGTGACTTCTCTGAGACTCATTACCTAAACGAGCAGGTGAAATTCATCAAAAAAATAGATGACCGTGTAACCAACTTATACAAGATATGGGCCCCAGAATCTGATACGGCAGAATGTCTCTGATAAATGCACCCTGGGGAAGAGTGATAATGAGAGCTAAGTCCTATGCTGGCTTATCCATAACTATAAAAAAAGATGACTTCCTATGGTGATATTGGGATTACTTTACCCTTTCTGTAAGTTGTAGCAAACACCCACTTTATTTTTTTTTTCATTTGTACCATTCCTTACAACAAAGTATTGAGTTGGCCAAAAAGTTCCTTTGGGTTTTAAGTAAAAACACATTTTTCATTTTCACCAATAACATTATTGAACAACGTATTCACCCTTTTGTTCCACTACCTTTTATCATTTTTCAGGCGACTTCATAATTCCATCTTCCCAAAACTTTCTATCTTTTTGAGCAAAGAACTGTTCTAGGTGCCTTTTACAGTCTCCTAGGGAATTGAAAATTTTTCTATTAAGAGAATTTTGTAAAGACTGAAATAAATGGAAATCCAAAGGTGCAATGTCTGGTGAATATGGCAGATGAATCAGAACTTCCCAGCCAAGCAATAAGCATTTTTGCCTGGTCATCAAAGGAACATGCCATCTTGCATTATCCTGATGGAAGATTATGCATTTTCTGTTGACTAACTCCGGACGCTTTTCGCCAAGTGCCGCTTTCAGTTGGTTGAATTCGGGGCAGTACTTGTTGGAATTAATCGTGTGGTTTTCCGGAAGGAGCTCATAATAGAGGACTCCCTTCCAATCCCACCATATACACAACATCACCTTCTTTGGATGAAGACCGGCCTTTCGTGTGGTTGGTGGTGGTTCATTTCACTTGCCCCACAGTCTCTCCTGTTCCACATTATTGTACAGTATCCACTTTTCATGGCCCATCACAATTTTTTTAAAAAACAGAACGTTTTCATCACGTTTAAGTAGAGAATCACATTCAGAAATACGGTCAAGAAGGTTTTTTTCACTTAACTTATGTGGAACCCAAACATCAAAGCAAGTAACATAACCAAGCTGATGCAAATGATTTTCAACACTTGATTTGGATGCTATGAGTATGTCGGCTATCTCCTGCTTGGTATAAAGTCAGTTGTTCTCAATTAACGTCTCGATTTGATAGCTGTCAACTTCAACTGGTCTACCCGACTGTGGAGCATTGTCCAGCGAGAAATCTCCAGCACGAAACTTCACACACCACTTTTGACACATTCAGTCAGTCATAGCACCTTCTCCATATGCTGCACAAATCCTTTTTTTGCATTTCAGTTGCGTTTTTACCTTTCTTAAAATAATAAAGAATAATATGCCGAAAATGTTGCTGTTTTCTTCCATCTTCAGTATTAAAATGGCTACACAAAAATTCACCAATTTTGATTTTTTTTTAAATACACGCTGATATGACAGCTGTCACAATATAGTCTAACAAAGTTGTTTTGAACGAAGTTAAAGACAACTAAGCACTAGAGCCATCTTTTGGAAAAACCAAATGAACTTTCTGGCCAATCCAATAACTTGGTACCAAAAAAATTGTGAAACGGGCTTCCCTGGTGGCGCAGTGGTTGAGAGTCCGCCTGCCGATGCAGGGGACACGGGTTCGTGCCCCAGTCTGGGAGGATCCCACATGCCGTGGAGTGGCTGGGCCCGTGAGCCATGGCCACTGAGCCTGCGCGTTGGGAGCCTGTGCTCTGCAACGGGAGAGGCCACAACAGTGAGAGGCCCGCGTAACGCAAAAAAAAAAAAAAAAAAAAAGTGCAACAGTAGACATCTAATGTTTGTAGTGTTTATGTCTGGGTGATGGTATTTTATATGGCTTTGATTTTTTCATTTGTTTGCTTGGTTTTTAGTTTTCCCATCTTTCTATACTGATCAATATTCTGTAATTTAAAATAATACTAACATTTATGTGACAAGCAGTCTACTAATTTTTTTTTGTATTATTTCTTTTAATCCACATTTAGTCCCTTGAGATATAGACTGTTTTACTCTACCCATTTTAGGATGAAGTAACTAAAGCTCTCAGAGATTTAGGTGGTACTTGATTAAGGTCATACATAGGAATGGAAGTGACATCTGTCTGATCCCAGAGCCCTAGATCTTGAACTATCTTAGTATCTTCCATAGCACTGAGCCTCAAGTGCAAAAATGTCTAATTAGTTAGTATTTTTTGAGTAAGTAATTAAGTTTATGCTCTAGTAGTACAAAGCTAGGGTTTCTCTTGAAAGCACCAATAGTTATAATTAATCCATAGCAAGTTTTTTCATTAGTTTCATAAAGTTTTATTTAGGCCTTTGTATTTTTATACTAATTAGTTTTGCCATGGATAGCATGAATTCCTCTTAAAGATTAAGAAGAAAAATATTAAAAGTTTGGGGACAGATGAGAAATGTTTATACTCAGGTTACAATCTAACCCTATTTCAAATGTTTTCAGTGAGTTGGCCAGAAGGGAACTTTTTATTTCTTAGATGGTATCAAAATCAATATGCATTAGGTGCTGTTAAAGTCTTGGCTTTTGTTTTACTATGTCTTGGACAGTAAATTAAATAGATGTTTAAAAATGTTGACTCTTCAATACCAAACTGTTCTTTTTTGGTCTACTTTTTTCTCGATTTATTTAACCTAATTAAATAAATCTAAGTTAAGTATAATTATGTTCTAGTAGTCAGTTTGGGTTTCATGAAAATCAGCTTTTCTTTTTGTTTTGTTTAGATCAATATGAAAGATAACAAAAATGCCAAATATGTTGAAAATCATATTCCATCAAATGACTTGAGAGCTTTTGTGTTTGAAAGTCAAGAAGATATGGAGGTTTTCCTCAAAGAGGCAAGTACTGTAATATTTTAATTCACTTCACACTTAGCTTCCAGTGCTTGAGTTTTCAACCTCAACCTAGAGCAAAAAAATGATAATGACCTATTTTACCATCAGTAACTATTGTGTAAAATTATTCAAATTTGCTAATTTCTTTTGTCTATACCACTGAAGATTGAATTAGTTTTATAAGAGGAACAACAGCCCATAGTTCCATCTTTAACATTTTTTGAAATTACCATTGGGAATTAATATGAAGAGTAATTGTCACATTGTTTTAAGAGAAACATCATAATGATGAGACTTTGGTCTTGGACATCCTTTTAGGAAATGTATTGGAATGAACTCCGTTTTTCTTTGCGGGGAATATAATGTTGTTGCTCATTATAAATAAAAAACTTTAAAAAGAATGAGAAAAACACTACTGACCAAGAATATAAGCCACTGGAAGACATCATGGCTTAGTTAAGAGTATAGACTCTACAGATAGGCTACCAGGCTTTGAATTCCGACTTTACAGCTGATTTCAGCAAGTTGACTAAATGTTCTGTGTCTTAATTTCTTCACTATAACGTGGAGATAATATCTACTTCAAAAGATGGTTGTGATGATTAAATAATTTATTAAATGAAAAAGTTTAGAACAGTTTGTTGGGTACTATTGTTTTTATTATATATTGTTATATATCTGTATAATACATATTGTTAGCTATGTATGTTACTATCCTTGCCAGTAAGATTTCTTTTTCCTTTTGCAATACGCCGTCTACTTTTTAAAAAGCCCTGGAAAGATGAGGTTTAGATTTTGTTTTGTTTAAACTTTTTCTAGTAAGTCTAAGTGAGGACAGGACCATGAATCGGCTTAAGTAGTCCTCTATTTCTCTGGTACACAAGTGATTGGAAAGAATCTTTACTTTCTTTGGCTTTTACGTATTGCCCTCCTTCTGGTTTGGAGTTGACAGGGAATGTGAATAAAAGATGACTGGATAAAAAAGTTGAATCTACAGAATTATAAAATGGTCTCCAAAAAATTAAGCATTTGTGTTATTTAGAACTATTTAAGCCTAAACAGTGAGTTCTTGAACTGATGTCACTGAAGAAGTAGGTTACTTGGATTACAAGTCTGTGAGACATGACACAGTGTGAAGGGTCTGGAGTCAGGTGTAATTAGATGATTTCTATTTTGCAAATGGCCAGCTTAGCCTACACTGAGTAACTGGATTTGCCTCAAAAACTCATGTTTCTTCCCCTGTGCTAAGAATTTGAACCATATATTAATAATATGACAGGTTCCTGGAAATTTGACCTTTTTTTTTTTTTTCTTGTACTGTGACAACTTTCCATAGGGGCTCATCATTAGGACTAGAACTTCCTCTTACATGTATCACTTTTTGTATGTATATTTTAAATTTTGAAATATATTGTATATAACCTCCTCCTGTAATTATATCTACTAGAGTACCATTTCCCATCCTTCAGTAACTTACAAACCTTCTTCATGGTGTTTGCCATTTCTGCATACTACCGTGTACTACCATCACAATTTTTTGCCATATCTGGGTACTAACTATATTATTATTTAAAATTTTTCTTTAAATCACTTCACTTCTTGTTACTGAAATGAAATATTCTGAAAGGAAGTATAATGTCATTACCAAATTAGAAAAACAAATAATTTACATTACAGTAAAGACAGTAAAAGCAGTGTTAGTAAATCCTAGATGTGTACTGTTGCTTCTCGAAAGCAGATGATATGATTTTTTTAAAAGGAGGTAATAAGGAGTTAAAGACATGATGACACCGTATGTAACTTACTCATTGGTATGATTAGAAATATTGAAAGGGAATTGAAAAGGAAATTACTTTCTCATTGTATAATTCAATTTTATTTAGTGTAGCCACTAAAACAATAGATTTTTAAAACTTAAATGAATTCTGCATACTAGTATCATTGATACATTGACTCATGGCCAATATTGTTTCATCATACCTCCACTCTATTTTTTTTAATAACTTATTTTGATATAACTTCAAACTTATAGAAAAGTTGCAAGAGTCATACATATGCTCCTATATACCTTTTACCCAGATTTACAATAATTATTCACATTTTGCCCTATTTGCTTTACTGATTTTTTCGTTTTTTTAATTTTTAATTTATATTGGAGTATAGTTGATTAACAGTGTTGTGTTAGTTTCAGGTATACTGCAAAAGTGATTCGGTTATGCACATACATGTATCTATTCTTCTTCAAATTCTTTTCCCATTTAGGTTATCACAGAGTATTGAGTAGAGTTCCCTGGGCTATACAGTAGGTCCTTGTTGGTTGTGTATTTTAAATATAGCAGTGTGTACATGTCAATCCCAAACTGCTAATCTATCCCTCCCCCCCCCACCCTTCCCCCTTGGTAACCATAAATTCATTCTCTAAGTCTGTAAGTCTGTTTCTGTTTTGTAAATAAGTTCATATGTATCAATTTTTTTAGATTCCACATAAAGCCGTATCATATGATATTTGTCTTTCTCTGTCTGACTGACTTCACTTAGTATGATAATCTCCAGGTCCATCCATGTTGCTGCAAATGGCATTATTTCATTCTTTTTAATGGCTGAGTAATATTCCATTGTATATATGTACCACATCTTCTTTATCCATTCATCTGTTGATGGACATTTAGGTTGCTTCCATGTCTTGGCTGTTGTAAGTAGTGCTGCAGTGAACATTGGGGTGCATGTATCCTTTCGAACCATGGTTTCCTCTGGATATATGCCCAGGAGTGGGATTGCTGAATCATATGATAGCTCTAATTTTAGTTTCTTAAGGAACCTCCATACTGTTCTCCATAGTGGCTGTACCAATTTACATTCCCACCAACAGTGCAAAAGGGTTCCCTTTTTTCCACACCCTCTCCAGCATTTATTGTTTGTTGACTTTCTGATGATGGCCACACTGACTGGTGTGAGGTGATGCTTCTTTTTTTAAAATATATGTATTTATTTATTTATTTTTGGCTGCATTGGGTCTTTGTTGCTGCGTGCGGGCTTTTCTCTAGTTGGGGCAAGCGGGGGCTACTCTTCGTTGCGGTGCACGGGCTTCTCGTTGCGATGGCTTCTCTTGTTGTGGAGCATGGGCTCTAGGCACGCAGGCTTCAGTACTTACGGCATGTGGGCTCAGTAGTTGTGTCTCGTGGGCTCTAGAGTGCAGGCTCAGTAGTTGTGGCACATGGGCTTAGTTGCTCCACAGCATGTGGGATCTTCCTGGACCAGGGCTTGAACCCAGGTTCCCTGCATTGGCAGGCGAACCACTGTGGCACCAGGGATGTCCTTTTTTTTTGAGGTGATATTTCATTTTAGTTTCTAAATGCAAATCTTTTTTGGAGAAATGTCTATTTAGGTCTTCTGCCCATTTTTTGATTGGGTTGTTTGTTTTTTTGATATTGAGCCGCATGAGCTGTTTGTAAATTTTGGAAATTAATCCCTTGTTAATCTCTTTGTTTGCAAATATTTTCTCCCATTCTGTGGGTTATCTTATCATTTTGTTTATGGTTTCGTTTGCTGTGCAAAACCTTTTGAGTTTGATTAGGTCCCATGCTTATTTTTGTTTTTATTTCCATTACTCTAGGAGACAGCTTGAAAAAGATATTGCTGCGATTTATGTCAAAGAGTGATCTGCCTATATTTTCCTCTAAGAGTTTTATAGTATCTGGTCTTATATTTAGGTCTTTAATCCATTTTGAGTTTATTTATATGTATCTTGTTAAAGAATGTTCTAATTTCATTTTTTCATGTGTAGCTGTCCAGTTTTCCCAGCACCATTTATTGAAGAGACTCTCTTTTCTCCATTGTATAGTCTTGCCTCCTTTGTTGTAGATTCATTGACCATATGTGTGTGGGTTTATTTCTGGGCTTTCTATCCTGTTCCATTGATCTGTATTTCTGTTTTTGTGCCAGTACCATACTGTTTTGATGACTGTAGCTTCTTATTGCCATTTTGTTAATTGTTTTGGATTTGTTTTTGTACGTGTTTTTTCTTCCCTTCCTCTTTTTTTCTCTTGTGATTTGATGACTAACTGTAGTGTTGTGTTTGGATTCCTTATTCTTTTCTGCATGTGTATCTATTGTAGATTTTCAGTGTGCAGTTACCATGAGGTTTTGGTATAGCATTCTATATATAAACAAGATTGTTTTCAGTTGCTGATCTTTTAATTTAAAATGCATTTCCAATATCCTGCCTTTGTGCTCTCCTTGTAATTGCTGGTTTTGATATCATATTTGTTTAGCAGATGATTTCCTACCTTTACTGTATGTTTGCCTTTACCAGTGAGCTTTTCCATTCATAATTTTCTTGTTTCTAGTTGTGGCCTTTTCTTTTCCACCTAGAGAAGTTCCTTTAGCATTTGTTGCAAAGCTGGTCTGATGGTGCTGAATTCTCTTAGCTTTTTCTTGTCTGGAAAGCTTTTGATTTCTCTGTCGAATCTGAATGAGAGCCTTGCTGGGTAGAGTATCCTTGGTTGTAGATTCTTCCTTTTCATCACTGCCTTCTGGCCTGCAGGGTTTCTGCTGAGAAGTTAGCTGATAACCTTATGGGAGTTCCCTTGTACATTATTTGTTACTTTTCCCTTATTGCTTTTAATATTTTTTGTCCTTAATTTTTGTCATTTTGATACCATGTATCTTGGCATGTTCCTTCTTGGGTTTATCCTGCCTGGGACTCTGCTTCCTCTGTGCTTCCTGGACTTGGGTGACTGTTTCCTTTCACATATTAGGGAAGTTTTCAGCCATTATCTCTTCTAATACTTTCTCAGGTCCTTTCCATCTCTCTCCTCCTTCTGGGACCCCTATAATGTGACTGTTGGTGTGTTTAATGTTGCCCCAGAGGTCTCGTAGACTGTCCTCATTTCTTTTCATTCTTTTTTCTTTATTCTGTTCCACAGCAGTGATTTCCACCATTCTGTCTTCCAGCTCACTTACCAGTTCTGCTGCTGTTACTCTGCTATTGATTCCTTCTAGTGTAATTTTCATTTCAGTCATTGTATTGTTCATCTCTGTTTGTTGTTTAGTTCTTCTAGGTCTTTGTTAAACATTTCTTGTGTCTTCTAGATCTGTGCCTCCATTCTTTTTCCAAGATCTTGGGTCGTCTTTATTGTCATTACTCTGAATTCTTTTTCAGGTAGATTGCCTATCTCTACTTTACTTAGTTGTTCTTCTGGGGTTTTATCTTGTTCCTTCATCTGGAACATATTCCTGTGCTGTCTCATTTTGCCTAACTTTCTGTGATTACAGTTTCCATTCTGCAGGCTGCAGGCTTATAGTTCTTCTTGCTTCTGCCATCTGCCCCCTGGTGGATGAGGCTGTCTAAGAGGCTTGTGCAGGCTTCCTGGTGGGAGGGACTGGTAACTGCCCACTGGTGGGTAGAGCTGGCTCTTGCCCCTCTGGTGGGCAGGGCTGTGTCAAGGGGTGTGTTTATCAGGCAGCTGTTTACTCAGGAAGGCTTTAGGCAGCTGGTCTGCTGATTGATGGGGCTGTGTTCGCACCCTGTTGTTTGTTTGGCCTGAGACATCCCAGCACTGGAGCCTACAGGCTGTTGGGTGGAGCCAGGTCTTGATGAGAAAATGGCAGCCTCCAAGAGGGCTCATGCCAATGAGTACTCCCCAGAACTACCATCACCAGTGTCCTCGTCCGCACAGTGAGCCACAGACACCCCCCCCCCAACCTCCGCAGGAGACCCTTCAATACTAGCAGGTAAGTTTCTTATGAGGTCATTGCTTTTTTACCTGGGTCCTGGTGCACGCAAGGCCGTGTGTGTGCCCTGCAAGAATGGAGTTTGTTTCCCCCAGTGCTGTGGAATTCCTGTAATCAAATCCCGCTGGCCTTCAAAGCCACATTCTCTGGGGGCTCCTCCTCCTGTTGCCAGACCCCCAGGCTGGGGAGCCTGACGTGGGGCTCAGAACTTTTACTCCTGTGGGAGAACTTCTGTAGTATAATTATTTTCCAGTTTGTGGGTCGCCCACCCAGCATGTATGGGATTTGATTTTATCGCCATTGCACTGCTTCTACCATCTCGTTGTGGCTTCTTCTTTGTCTTTGCATACAGATACAGGACAGGTATCTTTTTTGGTAGGTTCCAGCATTTTTTTGTCAGAGGTAGTTCAGCAGTTAGTTGTGATTTTGGTGTTTCCATAAGAGGGGGTGAGCTCACATCCTTCTACTCCGTCTTGTCTTCTCCTGCTTTATTATTTCTCCATAGCAAAGTACAGGTGGTTTTGCTATAAGCAATATATAATTCCTAAAAATTACTGTACTGCAGAATTGTATAATAAAAACCCACAGGGGCTATGGTGTGGAGGAGGGGAAGCACAGCTTTACATATGTTAAATTATTAAGAAATATGCAGATACAATAAATGTGCTTTTTCTTTTTTATTTGTTTATTGAAGCATGGTTGACTTATAGGTTTCAGGTGTACAGCATAGTAATTTGATGTTTTATGGATTACACAATGTACAAAATTAGTATGAAATATTGACTATATTCCCTGTACTGTATGTTACAACCCTGTGCCTTATTGAAAGACCTGAAGTTGGCTTGTGGAAGTAGGCATTGGAAGGGTTCCGTATGTGAATTATGTAGTAGGTAAGACAATATAAAGCACTTACCTGAAATTGGATGGAAAGTTGTAACACCAGATGTGGTTGAGGGGTGGCTCATAATATGTAGTGAACTCAGGCAGCTGGTAGATGATTGAGAGGGATGTGTGTGTGTCTGTGTATTTGTGCACAAATTACGTCTATTCCTACACAGCTCCATTTAGTTGGGTGCAATTTTTTGCATTCACCTAGAGAAAAGCTTATATTTGTTATGGATATAATTGTACCTAAGCAAATGTGAGAATCACATAATGTTTAAGTTGTCCCCTAATATATAAATTGCTTGGAATAAATTTGTCCTCAAAACAAGCATTACAGTAAAACTATTTTTCTGTTGGTAATTATGTGTGAGGAAATACTTTGAGCCTTTAAAAATATCCTGTTGCTCATGTAACTGCTTAGTAGGTTTAAGAACCATTAATGATTCTCATCATTCTTTCTATATTTATTAGTTGGTATTCTATAAGGAAGAGCTCTTTCTTCTCCATTTATTTAGTCATTATATCATATAAAATTCATAGAATTTTGTTTTATGGATTTTAATCCATTACTATCATTATTTATTTTAATGCTCAAATTGTCCCACATTTGGCCAGTGAGACCTTCAGCTTGACCGCTGTATGTTATTTTACCAACTTTTTTTTTTTTTTTTGCGGTACACGGGCCTCTCACTGTTGTGGCCTCTCCCGTTGCGGAGCACAGGCTCTGGACACACAGGCTCAGCGGCCATGGCTCATGGGCCTAGCCGCTCCACTGCATGTGGGATCTTCCCGGACCGGGGCACGAACCCATGTTCCCTGCATCGGAAGGTGGACTCTCAACCACTGCGCCACCAGGGAAGCCTTTACCAACATATTTTGAGCAGTACTTACTTTTGGGGAGAGCAGGGTGTTCACTTATACCTTTACCTTGCTGTGTCTGGGCCTTACAATCAGCCTTTTCCCCAAAGAACCCTAGTTTTTAGAAACCAAGATCTGTGTGTTAGATGTGTGCATTGCTGCTAGTGTCTCATTGCTTCTTAGCCCTTGCATGCAAACCCTTATTTCTATATTTATCTGGAGAACAAAAGTGCATAAGGGCACCATGAATTCACACTGATGCTTCCAATTACAGTCGAACACAACAGGGAACCTTCTCTTTCTCCTTTGCATATCTGTAATTTCCTACTGTAGCAGTGAAAAACACCTCCTTCTCCCCCTTATCATCAATTTATTTACTAATTTGTTCAAGTGTAGAGTGCTGTGAAAGTAGTTTGAACATTGCTAATCTGTGCCACCATGAAATTCCTCCATTCCACCATCCCATCTTGTCTCTCAGCAGTGTTTTATTTTTTTGTGTTTTATGTCTTGCACATCTTTTGTTAAATGTGTTCCTAAGTATTTTATGGATTTTTGACTCTTAGAAATGGATTTCTCAAATTCATTTTTCAGTTGTTAACTGCTAGTACATAGATATAATTTGATATTTTTTCATTTGATCTGTATCTTGTGACACTATTGAATTCACTTCCTGAATTCTAGTAGTTGCTTTATAGATTCCACAGGACTTTCTGTGTAGGAAATCATACCCTTGCAAATAGATCTTTTTACTTGTTCCTTTTTAATCTTTTACCTCTTTATTGTGCTTCACTACATTGTCTAGTACCTCTAGGACAATGTTGAAAAGAAGTGGTGTGATTTGATACCCCTGCTTATTCCCAGGCTTAGGGGGAAAGCACTCAATATTCCACAATTAAGTATTATGTCTGCTGTATACTTATCATAGATGCCCTTTACCATGTGGAGGAAATTTCTTTCTATTCCTAGTTTGCTGAAAATCATATGGCTTTTGTACTTTATTCTGATAATACAATAACTTGGATTGATGTAGCATTCAAAATCAACCAATCTCACATCCCTGGGATAAATTCTACTTGGTCATGTATATTGCTGGATTCTGTTTACTAATATTTTGTTAAGGATTTTTGTATATGTGTTCATGAGGGATATTGTAATACTTTTGTCAGGATTATACTGGAATCATAAAATGACTTGTCCCTTCCTTTTTGTTCTGAAAAGGTTTTTGGTATTACTGCTTCCTTATCTGTTTGATAGAATTTATCAGTGGAAATAAAAAAAGAAATGTACTCTTTGTGAAAACACATAGCTACAATATCATCACACTAAAAAATTTTCTTATAAGTACCATTAAATAGCTAGTCAGTGTTCAAATTTCTGATCATCCCATGAATGCCAGTAAGAATACCATAACTTTAAAAGTTCTTTTGATTGAGTATATGGTAATTAAGGTAATATTTTCTTTTCCTTATATTAAGGTTCGTGACCATAAAAAATTAAGAGTGAATGCTGTTATTGCTCCTAAGAGTTCATATGCAGACAAAGCACCTTCACGACCATTGAATGAACTCAAGTAAGTCTTGAAAATATTATTAGAACTAAGCTGTTACTTTGAATATTGAATAATCATTTCTCTCAAATATATTTTAATTATTTCTTTGTCACATAAATATGTTTCTTATAGGCTGTATTATTCCCTTTTAGGATCTCTTCCTAAGTCTAAAATAAGGAAAAATCTAGGCCCAGGAACAGACCATGGTATCAGTTAGTATATGATGGTGATTTTTTAAATCAGTGGAATAATATTGGACTACTTAGTAAAAGCTAGTAAAATAGTTGGTTAGTTATTGGGAAAATAAAAGGGTAAATCATCACTTCATAATATAAAAATAATTTCCAGAAGGATCAAATGGAAAAACTGCAATTATAAAACAGCTATAAGTAAATAAAGTCTTAATTCTGTATAAAAGCAATGGTAGAAGCAACAAAAGAAGAGATTAATGGTTTGTAATTATAAATATTAAACTTTTCGGACAAGGAAATAAATCTGAATATTAATCACTTAATATTAAGTGACTAAACTATACAAAGAAAATACTTTCTGTACCATTGTTAATTTATTTTTTATTTATTGTTTAGTCACCACATGTCAACTAGGATTTTTTTTTAAATGATATTTTAAGAAGAAAAACCTAATAGTTGCTTTTCCTTTCAGACAATATGGATTTTTCTCTTATTTGCGAGAGTTATTTGATGCACCTGATCCTGTCATGAGTTACCTCTGCTGCCAGTATCACATTCATGAAGTTCCTGTAGGAACTGAAAGAACCAGAGAAAGAATTGAACGGGTAAGAAAGTACTGAATCAGTACCAAAAATGTAGTTTTGTTAAAACTTCTTAGCTTAAAGTCAAGGAAAACTTGTAATTTAGGGAAACATGCCATTGTTTTTAACCATACAGAAATTATCTTGGTATTTTCCATTTTTAATATGACATAGGACAGTGAACGTTGACTAATACTTGACGACAGGAGTGGTGTGGAGTTACCTAGAGCAGGGGCCCCCGACCCCCAGGCTGCACACACAGCAGGAGGTGAGCGGTGGGCAACCGAGCGAAGCTTCATCTGCCGCTCCCCATTTTTCCCCATCACTTGCATTACTGCCTGAATCGTCCCCCCCACCCACCCAGCCCAGGTCTGTGAAAAATTGTCTTCCACGAAACTGATCGCTGGTGCCAAAAAGGTTGGGGACCGCTGACCTAGAGTAAATAAATAATACATGTAGGGTAGTTAAGTTAAAACCTGAAGAGACACGTGGCTCTCTTATGTGATTCTGCCTTGCTTGACAAACATTTGTTCAAACATTAACGGTTTAGTCATTTAAATTCTTGTATTCTGTTTTTCAGACAAATTATACTTTAGGATGGTAGGCTAGGATATGTAACTGCTTTGGTAAGCCCTCCCCTTAAAGTTTCCATTTAAGATTATCTTATGTGAATGACCACCCCTTAATAGGATTTCGTTTTCCTGTCTAGTACAGCTACATAAACTCTAAGTTCCTATATTCTGCTAATGCTGCTTGGAGTTTTCTTCTCCTTACAAGTAATCTCTAAGACTCCAAACCACCTTCATTGCTTTTATCAAAGGGAGAAACAGGGAAGAAGTCTCCTCTAGAAAAGATTTTTCCTTAATACCAAGTTGCCATATTAATACTGCTTGTAGGACCCAATTACAGACCTAACTGCTATTTATAATAGTGAACTTATTAGAGAATGTGTTTTAAATTTTTTAACAACCATTCTACAAGTATCCCTGGGATATTCATTTGTAATTTCGGGGCCTCTATATACCTCATTAACAGAAGATAGAAATGGGGGCTCATTACTAACCCATTTTGCACAGACAAACCATTATTACTTATGGTAAGTTGCCTGTGTCTTCGATTAAAAATTATATTATGGTGACCATTTGGGGAAACCAAAAATACAACTCTCCATGTGGGTGTACCTCTCTCTTTGGTCTTCATAGATGGGGTTTAAAAAAAGAGGACAAGACTATATACATAGACCAATCCAATTTCTGTCATAACTTCAGAGGTAGGTAGGGTGCTATCTCTGAAGCTTAGGATCGTAGGTATTCTTTACTATTGCAGGAAGACTATAGAAAATTTGGTAAGGGCTTTCATAGCTTTACTTTGGGGCAGAAAGGAGCAGTACTGCACTTGGAAAATCCTTTCACTTTTTGAACAGTGCTTCAAGTTGATTTTTATGCACTTTTTAACATTTTGGTTAAGTCATCTAGAGAGCTTTAACTCTACTGTCTGTACTAGAAAAATAACATTGTATATAGTAAAGCAAAGTCAGACACCTAATAAAGCCCTTGACATTGTCTTAGCCATCTTTCAGAAGATACAAACCTTCATTGAGGAAATTCAGTCTTAATGTTTCATGTCTACCTAATGACAAATAATGGCTATATTTCTTCCTTAGAATAAAAATAACATTCTTTAGTGTAAGTTTTGCTTTATTATCAAGTCCTGACATTTTAGATTCTGTAAATGATTATACTCTATTTATGCAGTTGTTCTCGTTAATTTCCAAGGCTGGTCTCTGGTTAAATTGTCTGCTGACCTCCTTAGCTTAACAATGTTCTTTTTGCTGAGAGCACTCCCACCATCTCTGTCAGTTTCAATTTGCTTAAAACTTATTTTCATGAAATGTGGGTAGGCTAACCTCATCTAGGCTTTCCCTTCATTTCAAATTATTCAGCATTTGTGGATGCCAGTTCATACCCTATTAAACTAAGTATGCTTAAATATGTCTTATCTCTTCACTTAAACTTCTAGAGAGAAACAAGCCACAAGAATACTGGTAGTAAACCTTTAGAGATTGGAAAAAACTACAGCAGCCTATTCTTTATAAATAACAGTAACAGATCCAATGTTAGGGTGTTTAGAATGTGCATTAGTTTATGAAACTCCTTAAATAAATTGTTGAGAGAAAAGATCTCCAAAAAATGCAAAGTCTTTGAAGTCCTTGAAAAGTGTGTGCATTAAGTATTCCCCAAATATACAGGAATTAAATATAAGATTATGTATCTTTGAACAATATAACTGAGGGGAGGGGAGAGTAAATGTGTTAGTTGAGATAACACAGTTCAGTCTACAGGGAAGTTGACTCCTGGTATCTCTTCTGTAGATAAAGTCCCAAAAGTACACTTACTTGGGAGAGATCGTATAGTGAAGTAGAAGTATAGCCAACTTTGGTTGTTGTTTTGGTTTTCTCCCAGTTCTCTCTTCCTTAGTGGTGTTTTCCCAAATAATAACCTGAATTTTATCACTCACCTTTTTAGAGATGTTGGGTACATTTTTTAAAAAATAAAGTATATCCTAGTATATTTTGATCTTCTAAAATTCATGAGATCTGTATTTTTAATTCGTTAGTCCTTTTAAAAATATGTCATAATTATTCTTAGATGTGCACTGAATGCGTATTTTACATTATAGGTAATACAAGAAACCCGATTAAAACAAATTTATACAGCAGAAGAAAAGTTTGTGGTGAAAACTTCTTTTTATTCAAACCAAGTTATTTCTAGTAACACATCCCTAAAAGTAGCCCAGTTTCTCACAGTCACTGTGGATCTAGAGCAAAGACGACACTTAGAAGAACAGCTAAAGGTTGGTCATTTAAAAAAAATTTTTTTTTAATTGAAGTACAGTTGATTTACAATGTTGCATTAGTTTCTGGGGTATAGCAAAGTGATTCAGTTATAGATATATACTTTTTCATATTCTTTTCCATTGTGGTTTATTACAAGATATTGAATATAGTTCCCTGTGCTATATAGTAGGACCTTGTTGTTTATACATTCTATCTATAATAGTTTGCATCTGTTAATCCCAAACTCCCAATCCATCCATCCTCTGCCTCCCCCTTTCCCTTGGCAATTGCATATCTGTTCTCTATGTCTATGAGTGTGTTTTGTAAATAACTTTGTGTCATATTTTAGATTCCACATATAAGTGATATATAGTATTTATCTTTCTCTTTCTGACTTCACTTATAATCTCTAGGTCCATCCATGTTGCTGCAAATGGCGTTATTTTGTTCTTTTTTATGGCTGAGTAGTGTTCCATTGTATGTATGTACCACATCTTCCTTATCCATTTATCTGTTGATGGACATTTAGGTTGTTTCCATGTCTTGGCCATTGTAAATAGTGCTCCTATGAACACTGGGGTGCATGTATTTTTCAAATTATAGTTTTGTCTGGATATATGCCCAGGAGTGGGATTGCTGGATCATATGGTAACTCTGTTTTTAGTTTTTTGAAGAACTTCCATACTGTTTTCCATGGTGGCTACACCAAGTTACATTCCCACCAACAGTGTAGGAGGGTTCCCTTTTCTCCACACCCTCTCCAGCATTTTTGATGACCATTCTGACTGGTATGTGGTGGTACCTCGTTGTGGTTTCACTTTGCAGTTCTCTAATAATTAGCAATGTTGAACATCTTTTCATGTGCCTATTGGCCATCTGTTTATCTTCTTTGGAGAATACCTATCTAGGTCTTCTGCCCAATTTTTGATTGGATTATTTTTGAGTTATATGAGCTGTTTGTATATTTTGGAAATTAAGCTTTTGTCAGTTGCATCCTTTGCAGATATTTTCCCCTAGTCCGTAGGTTGTCTTTTCATTTTGTTTATGGTTTCCTTTCATGTGCAAAAGCTTGTAAGTTTAAGTCCCATTTGTTTATTTTTGCTTTTATTTCTTATTGCCTTGGGAGACTGACTTAAGAAAACATTGGTATGATTTATGTCAGAGAATGTATGGTGTTATGTCTTTTATATCTAAGTTAAAGATTGGTTATTTTGAGTATTAATAAAGAATATTAACTGGAGTTATAATACGTTAGCCTGTTTTTTAAATATACTAACAATATTGCATATTCCATAGGAAATTAATAGAAAATTGCAAGCAGTAGAATCAGGGTTGATTGCCTTACGTGAGACAAACAAACACCTAGAACACAAAGATAATGAACTTAGACAAAAGAAGAAGGAGCTTCTTGAAAGGAAAACCAAGAAGAGACAACTGGAACAAAAAATTAGTTCCAAACTAGGAAGGTATCTTTCAGCCTATTTTGGGGTAAGGGGGCTGGGTGGGTGGTACAAAAGCACTATAAGGATATTGTTAGTTATACGTTGTAATGACGACACAATTCCCACCAGCAATCTGCGTACAATTTCTCTCTCAAACTTACCCTCCTACCCAAAACATGGGACAAAGGGAGGTGAATCTTAAGTGTTGTGAGTTTTTCTGTTCCCTGATCTGCTGTTCTCATCCCTGGACCCCCTTTCTGTTCTTAAAAATTATTGAGGACCTTGAGGAAGTTTTGTTTCTATGGATTATATCTATTGATATTTACCAAATTAGAAATTAAATTCATTAAAACGATAATAAAGCCATACATCAACATATTTATGAAAAAGTTTTCCAAACAAAATACATCTAGCAAGAAGAATGACATTGTTTTTACATTTTTGTAAATCTCTTTCGATGAAGTCAGTTGTTTTTCATATGTGCTTCTGCATTCACTGGGTTGTGAGATGTTTTGGTTGAAGTATATGAAGAAAATCTGGCCTCACATAGATATGCAGCTGGAAAAGGGAGAAGTGCTTTAATAGACTTTTCAGTGTATGTATTATCAAAACTTGCCAAGGTGTGGTTTGTGAAAGTTTAATTGCAACATGGAATGTGAACTCATCAGTGAAGTTGTGCACTCCTACATTACTTTAAGTGCATCATTCACCCATGAATGACTTTGTTACATTATGCTAGCTTACTGTGAGATCCCAGGCAATTGTTCTCAGAACTTACTGTTTTATTTTGAATTTAGATATTTTATAGAAACTTGGAATATATAAGATGGGATAAAAGCTATTAGGGTGTTCAGTCTGGGGAAAGGAACTGTGGCTTCCAGTTTCAAGGCTTTTCCCATGTCCTGTCATGACACAGCACAGACCTTTCTGTTTTGATTGTTCTTTTATGCTTCTTTGCTATAGAATAAAAATATAGATATCAATAACATAATAAATGACAGCTCAGTCTTGAATAAGGTACAAGTTTACCTTGATCTAATATAATAGTGTTTCTAAACACATTCATAAATTAAATATTTAAAATGCTTTAAGAAAAAAAAAATTTTAAGCAAACAATTGCCCATTAACTTTTGTTTAAAAAGTCAGTAATGTACCTTGGTTGCTTAAAGCAAGATATAGCTATTTAGTCTAACTGACTGCCTAGAATTTTTTTCTACTTTAACCTTTCACTTCTGTCTTCAGTCATCTACAAGACATTTACTGTTGGACTGCTGTATTGAACTCATTGTCTAAAGCTAAACTTTCTCCTCATAAAGTAATGCTGATTTTTGTAGTGCAGTAACCTTTCATAGCCATTGTCATCCTGCTGTCTCATACCTCCAGTTACTCACTTTGGAATACTGCAGTGGTGACATGGTTAATGGTCTCTACTTGACTAGTCTCCTTCTCCGTTTAGTGCGTCCAGAATACTGTCATCCAGTTTATCTTCTTTTCACGTTCCTACCCCCTTCAAGAATATCTTATAGCTCCCTACCTTTACTACATGAAATTTAATTAAATACTGCTTTCCTTTAGATTGGCTTTCAAGTTTTTCAAAATCTTATTTCACTCCACCCATTCTAATTTCCTCCCTGTCTTCCCCAAAGTCTCTTCATGTACCATTCAGTCCACTCTACAGCATCCACTGAACTTATTCATTCTTGTTTATTATTGCTTCCATCGTTTGTTCTTGATTTTTCCCTTGAGGCAACATGATGTAGTGGAAAGACTTGGACTTTGATGTCAAACACATCTTACAACATCTTACAATTTAGTATCTGGGATCTTAGGTAGCAACTTCTGAGCCTTAGTTTCTTCATCTTAAAGAGCAAAGTATTAACCTTTAGGATTGTTGTATTGCCTTTTCATTATATATTTTTTTTACCTGTTAATCAGATCTCCACAGTTAAGCTCCTTAAGGGAAGGGACTATATTTATAAACAGTGTTTATCAGTTATGGGCCAGACACTATACTAAGTGTGTTCCATAATTTGCCTTGTTTTAGTATTCACCAGAGCCCAGTGGAGAAGTACTATTATTATTTACAGTTTATAGATGAGGAAACTGAAGCTCAGAGAAGTAAGTTGTTCAGTTATATCGCTCATTAGTGGCAAAGAGGAAATTTAAATCCATCTTTCTGATTCCAGATCCTATACCATTAGCCACTAGCATTACCTAGACTATGCTGGGCACATACTCTATCTCAAAAAATATTTTCAATCTTGAGTGGTTACACAAAATGACTGTTTAACCTAGAAGCTAGCAGTTAACATCTGAGTAGCATTGCTAAATAGCCCACCCATAAAGCAGCAGGGGGGCCTAAGAATTTGGGCTCAATCCTTGTGTTTTCTCTGATTTCCACATCATTATGCATTTCATACAGTTTAAAGCTGATGGAACAGGATACTTGCAACCTTGAAGAGGAAGAACGAAAAGCAAGCACCAAAATCAAAGAAATAAATGTTCAAAAAGCCAAACTTGTTACTGAATTAACAAACCTGATAAAGGTAAGCCATTTTCTTAATTTTAGTCATTATTTTTTTTGTTGCAGGTTGACAGCAAAATCTTAGCAAGAGATTGTATTGTTGGACATTTCTCATTATAGATCAGTAAATTGGTTTAAAGCACTCATTAAGCTAAATTATTTTATTCCAGATGACTCAAATATACAAGAAAACTTGAAAATTCTCTTAGAATAAAATTATAAAAAGAATTATTTGATAGAGGTATCAGTCACATTAGAAAAATGTTATTTTTTTCATGGTTTATAATTTTGTTTTTTAAAAGAAACTATTGTTTTTCTTAGTTGTAAAACAAACTCATAGGGGTTTTTTATTCCTAGATTTGTACTTCTTTGCATATACAAAAAGTAGATTTAATTCTTCAAAATACTACAGTGATCTCCGAGAAGAACAAATTAGAATCAGATTATATGGCTGCTTCATCACAGCTACGTCTCACAGAGGTAAAATGTTTACTTTTATTTTTTATTTTGGGGCTTCAGACCAGTTTGAAAATGTGTGTGTGCAGGGGGGGGGGGTGTATGTATATACGTATATATATATATATATATATATATATATATAATTCCTTGCAATATGCAGTTTTTTTATGCTCTTTAATTTACAAATTTAATGCATCCTGCTGATGAGGAAGCAATATTTGAAACCCTTTGTATGTATTCTGCATTTTATGTTATTTGATTGGGGGAGGTGTGGTAATAATCAGAAAAGAGAATTAGAGTCCCTGATTTAGTCACTTGAAGACCAAAGTCTCATGTCTGCTTTCTTAACCAATATAAATTATAGTTGTTACTGTTACCAAGCAGCAACTAGTAGCTTTTATTGCAGTTTGTATCCCATAAAGTAAACTGCAGATGAGTTCTAATGAACACTGAGAGTGGCCTTAGTGTGTAATCTTGGTGAGTTAACCTTCTGTTAATACCTGTGAAACGATGATAAATATCGAAATAGTGGGGGGTCGGGGGTGATGTACTAAGTTAACATAAATTCCAGAGAAGAACTAGCAACAAAATGAGTTAGTATAACAGTGGGATAGTTTATGAGTCTTTCAACTCCTTTCCCAAAAACAGAAGAGCAACTAGGATAACATAACAGTTAACAAACAACCCATGGACAACATATACAACAAACCAAGCTTTAAGGTATCCCTATAGGTGTACTGCAGTATATTCTCACACTTAACCACCCAGGGTTAACATCAGGCTAGTTAAGGGCTTAGTCCTCAATAAAGCTACCCTTACTTCAAATGCTAGCTGCAAGTTCAGAGGTCCCCAGGCCACCTGCACTTCTGACTAACTGGCTACAAATTCAAGAGCTCTTATGACTCCCCCAGGTTCTGTAATTATCTAGAGTGACTCACAGAACTGAAGAAATGGCTATATTTAACAATTACAGTTTTATTATAAACGATACAAATCCCTACTAGTCAAATGAAGAGACATGTAGGGTGAGGTCTGGGAGGGTCCTGAACACAGTTTCTGTACACTTTTCTGGTGAAATCAGGATGTGTCACCCTCCTGCCATCAGTGTGTTCACTAACCAAGAAGCTCTATGGAGCTTCAGTGTTCAGGACATTTATTAGGGTTGCATTACCTAGGCATGATTGATTGGATCATTGGCCATGTGGTTGAACTCAATCTCCAGCCCTCCCCTCTAGTCACATGATTTGTCTTTCTGGCGTTGCCTTCGCCCATCCTGAGTCACTCCTTAGCATAGTAAAGTCAGGTGTGATCCTAGTAGGGGCCCATGAATAACAAAGACAGACACTCCTATCACTCAGACAATTCCTAGGGTTTTAGAGTCTTCCTCCCAAGAACCAGGGACAAACATCAGTCAAATTCTATATTTTACAACACCTGTGAACTCCAAACTATAGGTGGGTAAGATCAAATCAGCAGCAGCATCAAGACTGGTGTGGTATCAGAAAGTATGTGGTAAGAAGCAGAGGGAAGGCTCCAAGAATCCAAAAATCAAGTCACCAACAGATACTCATCTCTAAAGAAGAGAGGCCCCATTTGGTGTGGAAAGTTCAGCAGACCAATTTGAGAGCAGCTGAAACTGGGAGGTGACCATAGACTCAAGAAAGGTCAGGTGGTGCTGGGGTGGTGGTTTAGGCCTTGTGAACTCTCAAATTAACCGAAACTGCTTTGCAGAACAAAGCTGCTTACTGAGGAGAACTAGAACTACAGGATAGACTAAGGAGATAGTAAGCATGTATCATGTGATTATAAGGCTGACACAGTAGCTAAAGGCACAACAGTCTAAACATGGGAGAAGGGAGACAGTGTAAGTAAAATGGAATATATTTGCTGATTGTCCTATAGGTACTATCAGGAAATAAAAGGATACTACTTCAGATTAGATGCTTTGGGAGAGGGAAATGAGGGAGAATTTCAATATTGTTTATAGTAGGAACCAGTATCTCAAAAAAGATATTAAGGCCGTAAGGATATTGCATAAGATATTTTGCACATAAATAATCTTTCAAATAAAAATAGCTTTCCTGGGCTTCCCTGGTGGTGCAGTGGTTGAGAGTCCGCCGGCCGATACAGGGGACGCAGGTTGATGCCCCGGGAAGATCCCACATGCTGCGGAGCAGCTGGGCCCGTGAGCCATGGCCGCTGAGCCTGTGCGCCCGGAGCCTGTGCTCCACAACTGGAGAGGCCACAGCAGTGAGAGGGCCGCGTACCGCAAAAAAAAAAAAAAAAAAAAAAAATAGCTTTCCTAAATGCCAACAATAGATGAAAAAGGGAGAAGGGGACAATATAAAACAGATTACATCACTGAAGATTAGATATTTAATTTATATACATATTAAGACAACACAATGGCAGAACTTAGGCCAAACATCAATCATATCATTAAATATAAATGGAGACAATTTATCTTTTTAAAAAATTTTTTGAAGTAAATTCCAATACTATGCATAATATGAGAGGCACATCTAAAAGAAAGAGATTCAAAAAGGTTTAAAATGAAGGACAATGAGCACAAGGGATCTTTGGGGGTCAAAAAGGCTCAAAATATTAATCAAAAATATATGATAAACCTATTAATTTCATAATTGATGCTTAAAATATTAATGGTCACCTTTGGAGGATATTGGGAACAAGCTCATGATTTTCAAAAATGGCAAAGAAAGAACCTAGCATTTATGCTGTCTTTTTTATGTGAACTATTTAGGATAAACAAATGAGATGGGGAAGTTTTTCTTTACAGAAGTATTTCAGTTAATAAATGCAGAAGGAAAAAAAAGAAAGAAAAGAAAAGAAATGCAGATGGAATTATAGTGTTAGAATATCACCACCTTGTAGCTGCTAATGAATCAGTGGATCACATTAGCTGCTAACATCACAAAAAGATAGCCAGATATTTATTTATGTGTATCCTGATGGAAGGACATAACACAACACCACCTATGAACTAATGTTGTGAAAAAATCAAATTTCAACCCGATTAAGCCTCTAGAACAAGGTTTCTCAGTCTCAGCACTATGAATATTTTGAACTGGATAATTCTTTTTGTGGGGGGGGCTGTCTTTACCAGCGTCCCTGGCCTCTATTTGCTAGATGCCAGTAGTACACCGTTCCCTCAGCTGTGACAACCAAAAATATTTCCAGACACTGCCCTGGGGAGCAGAATTGCCCCCATTCAGAACCATTGCTCTAAAACTACAGTTTACAGGAAATACAGGAGAGCAAAAAATATGCTAAATGACTCCACAGGAATACAGTCAGCAAAATCTAGAACGTAAGGGACTATATAGGGACAAATCATTTACTTTAGCACTGTCCAATAGGAATATAGTGCAAGCTGTATGTCATTATAAAGTCTCTAGTGACCAAATTTTAAGAAGTAAAAAGAAATAGGTAAAATTATCTATCCATTTAATAGTATATTTAACTCAGTAAATTAAAATGTTATTTCAACATGTAATCAATGTTGGAAAATTATTGAGATATTTTACAATTTTATAATAAGCCCTCAAAATACTGTAATAAATACTTACATCTGAATTTAGATGATAAATTTTCATCACAAATATTAGATTTTATAAAACTTAAGAGTTGCAAAAGTAAATTCATATACTCAGATTATTCTAAACATTTTCTGGTGGCTAAAGTGAGTATTGATTTTAAATTATTTTAAATTAAAAATTTATTCTCTCAGAACTCTAGTCACATATGACTTGTGCCTTACTTTATTGGGCAGTGCAGTACTGTAACGAAGATAAAAAGGGGAGAGGAAATGTATAAGCTAAAAGGGACTTAAAAAACGTACTAACCAAATACTATGTGTGGACATTATTTTGATCCTGATTTGAGCAAAGCAACTACTTAAAGAAGAAGTTCTAAGAAATGGAATTTTGAATATTGACTCAATATCTGATAATATTAGAGTTTACTGACAGTATTTTTTAAGTTTGATAATGTGGTTATGGATTTTTTTATCTTTTAGAAATACATTGCCGTAATATTTACAAAGAAAATAATGTTTGGAATTGCTTCAAAATAATCCAGGGAGGGGGCCACGTGGGGAGCAAGTGTAGATGAAACTGTGATGGTCATGAGTTGAAAATTGTTGAAGAAGCTGGATGGTAGATACATAAAGGTTTATTATACTGTTCTCTCTCCTGTTTCATATATTTCTACATTTCCCATAATAAAAAGTAAATGTTTCTATTCTTGGCCATGATGAAACAGGGGCTCAGTTTACCCTCTTATTTTAAACCACTAAAAGATGGGACAAAGTATATAAAACAAAGATTTTCAGACACTGAATAACAGGCAGCACAGGACAGTGATTCCCTAAGAGGAGGGAAAACAGAACCAGGTGAGCTCTACAATTGCCTTAATTAGCTTATTGCCTGGAGAGTTTCTAGGCCACGATGTAGGGAAGAGGGATTTAATAGGAGAGAGCATAACAGTACAAATCCTACAGACATTAAAAGGATTTGTTCATTGAAATGAACAAATTTCTTAAAAGATACAAGCTATCAAAGATCACTGAAGAAGGAGCTAATTAGAATAGCCCTATATTTACTAAAGAAATCATATTTGTAGTTAAAAGTCTTCCCATAAAGAAAACTACAGGCCCAGTGGCTTCACTGTTGAATTCTACCAAGCATTTAAAATAATTAATATCAATTCTATCTAAAGTCTAGAAAAGGTGAAAAGGAAGGGAATACGTCTTGACACATTATATGAGGCCAGCCTTAGATATCAAAACCAGACAAAAGAAAACTACACACCAATATCTCTCATGAACATAGATGAAGAAATTCTTAATAAAATGTTAGCAAATCAAATTCAGCAGTATATAAGAGTAGTCTATCCTAACTAAATGAGTTTATCCCAGAAATACAAGGTTGATTCACTTTAAATCTCTACTAGAAATGTGCAACAAGGCAAGAAAAAGAGAAGGCTTACATATTGAAAAGGGA